ACCTCTCACATTATTCAAAATGCAGCTCCAGGCCACCTTGAGACCAGAAATAAGCCCCCCTTGTCACCATGAAGCCATAACAAGCCCATAGCAGCCGTGTGCTGTCAGAGGCAGTGCCCAGGAACCCCAACCATGTCTCCCCAGCCTTAGAGAACTCAGGCAGCTGGGGAAGCACAAGGCTCATAAAGGATAGCAGAGACTAGTTTACTTAAAGACCAAATAATTTTTAGGGTTAAAGCACTCAGGTTTTGTCAAGCTATTTATTGGTTTTGAGAAGAAGTGGCATAAAATAAACTAATTTATAGTGGTTTGTTGAAGGATCTAAGGAACTCCCTGAGCCTGCGTTCTCCATACAGATCTCAGCAATCCCTACTCAAAGGCAAGTCTGTTGTAGCTACCATAAGAATAAATGCAGTAACACCTACACCTCCACCAAGCAGCACACAAAAGCTTTCTTCCTGCTTCACTTGCCTGGAAAACTCAGATAGAAGGAGGCTTGGCTCTCACAAAGAGCATATCAGCCACCTCACATGCAGCCTGTCTGTATTACACGCGGGTTCTTCTCTTCTAGGGACTCTCAGAAGAGGGTACAGCATCTTAAGCTATGAGCAGATTGTTTGTACTCTCCCTCTCAGCTGATTAACATAATCTGGGCATTTCTGTACTTGACCTTCATTATCCCCAAGTCAGTGTCTGGAATACATATTTACCACCAGCCACGCAGCTTGGTACAACTGTGCTCAGGGAAGAGGCAAATTTGGGTCCTGTACACACTTTGCCTCTGGCTTAAAGTGTCTTACTTACTTTCTCTCAAGAGGATGTTTTTATTGTATTTATTAACATTTCAAATGTTGTTCATGGGGGTGTATAATCAATGGGCATTAAGATGTTATAATCACAAAAGAACAAGAGAGGTAGGCAAAATAGACTAAGATAATAAAGGGAAAATAAATGGAAGGCTTACCCATATGCTAGGCTCACCTAGAGAAAACACCAGAAAAGGGGATCTCCAGACAAGATCCTTCCCCACTGGTAGCCAGCTCTTAAATAGGTCTAGGAGGAGCCAGGCTCCACCCCTTCCGGCAGCACAGCTGAATTGCCTTCACCTGTGCTCCTGTGGCTGACTCATGGCTCACCTCAGGTGATCAATCAGAGGTTCAGGCCGTGACTCAGCAGCTCCCATACAGGGGGGCAAGGCGGGGGAGACGTTTGCTTTAGTTTCAGGTTGAAACTTATCTTCTGTTGAAATTCCAGATGCTGGAAGCAAGTTACACAACAACAGTATTTTTCAGCTTAAGACAAAAAGCTAACAGATAAAGTAATAAGACAAATATAATAAAAACATTAAAAAAAAATGCATGGCCATTAATTTCAGTGAAACAAATAATGATAAAACCAGACAAAAAAAAAAAAAAAAAAGAACAAACAAACAAAAAAACCACAACAACCATTGATTTTGGTCTTAATCAACTTTGTTTGCATAAAGCTGCATTCTTGACAAAATGAAGGATTCTGCCTAAACAGCTGCTCTACCTGCTCTGGTTTCCCAAATTATTGCACGGCCAGGAGTTTGAACTGCAAAGATATGAGAAGAATGCACTTTATGAAATAAAGCACAATAATGAGGAAACTATAGTGCTGGGTTACCAGTGCAGGTTTTTCAACAGCTGCTGGTAAGAATGCCTTTCTCAAGTTTCCTCTCGCCTTAATCTTGCTCCATGGAGCAGGATATGTGAAGGAATACCAGTTGTGCATGAGGAGGCTTTTGGACTTTAATTTCCATCCAGGACGTTTTGGGTTGTGCTAGTGAAGGCTTCAGGCTAGGCTGTATTGGCTCCCATCACATCTTCCTCTGCCTCCTGAGAGCAGCTCAGAGGTGGAAGGAGAGACCTAACACAGTGAGGTTCAGCCAGCAACAGCTAGATTCCATATGGGTTATCGTATCTTCTGCCTCTTTTATTTGCCCATAATGGGAACTCTGGTTTAGTAACTGCATATTAAGCCCAGACACAAACAACTTAGATCATTCATGTGAAAATGGAATAATGACAGCCTTGCTTTGTACTTTTGCACTCACACAAGCATTTTTCACCAGAAGCTTTCAAAATCAGTAGGCTTCCACTTACATGTATCCCACAGAAATAGTGCTCTTCTTGTTACCCTAGAAATACATACATTTTTTCTTACATAATACAGAACAGTTTAAGCTCTAGAGTTCACAGTCTAAGTATACAGATTAGACAAGAGAAAGGTAAAACATCTTGCCAGAGATAAACGATGAGACAAAAACACTTCCACTCTCAGGTCCCACCACCACCCCTTGCTGGATCATAGAGTCTTGCACTGCTTTACTTTCTCCAGACATTTTCAGTGAAGCCATACTGAGCTGAAAGATGATTCTTTTGGGCCACTCACACTAATCTTAGCAGGCTTTATGACCTCTTGAAATAGTTTGTTGCTTTCTTTGATTTAAAACCAACAGAATTAATTCTTCAAGGGTAGAACACATAGGTTGCAAGAAGGAGATAAGGGTACATCTGCAACTAAAGGACTATTCTGACTATTTAAAGCTGTCTTACAGCATTAGCAAACATACAAAATCACTTGATCCCTCAGGCACCTCCACTGTACTTGTTTAGCTCTTGATGGCAACACACTCAGGGTTTAGTCAAATTCTGAAATCGACAAGCAGTTTCCCAGTGTGCTGCTTCAGTTCAAAGAAACAACTCAGACCCAGCCCACAGAAGCTAAAGAGGACAGAACCCCATTTTCCATGCTGTACCATAGTGTTCAGCACAAAGTCTGAAATGAATTATATGATAACCTGCATCCATTCTCATTGCAGAGCAGCACGGCAACCCTCTTAATGCTGAGTGGTTATTATTTGAATTTATTCAAATGAAAAATAGTTTGAAAAGTGTAACGGCTGGTGATTTTCATAGCTCATCTCTCAGAAAAAATAATTAGGACAACTAAAAGCATTTGGAATTTAGTCAATCTTTTGTCAAAAGGGGAAACATTACTAGGAATAACAAAAGTTTCTAGCTTTCAGTTCTGAAGCAGTAATTTCCTTTGAGGTAGACTTCTGAATAAAATTAACTAAATAGGTACAAATGGGGACAAAATCATAGAACAGTGAGCATGGAAGACTTCTTAGGACTGAAATATCTGAGCTTGATCTGTACAGGAGGGATCCCAAAATACAAAAAGCCATCATGACTCACATAGGGTGGTTTGCAATTTACCCCATATGCCAGGTTTGTGGGTTCAGGTTCACACACTGTTAAATAGCTCTCCCTTGCACACAGAGGATGGGTGACCCCGTGTCACAGCTGCCCCAGCTACCTGCAGATGTGCTTGTAGAAGAGCCTGTCTCAGAGGAAGGCAATTTCTGCTGGGAGGAGGATTTTGTCATGGCCAGATTGCCCTCTCCTCCTCATCCTCCCCCCCCCCCCCCAGGATGGTTTGAGATCTTTTTGTACATTGTCACAGCCAAAAGACACAGAAGCAGGTCCAGGAAGGAAACCAGAATAGCTGTCACAGCACTCAGTTCAGTCACTCCTCTGATTTTCCAGGCATTGCTCAGAAAACCATTTGAAGGAGGGCCCCTGTGGGCAACAGCGGGCTCTGGACCAGGCTGAGGCCAGATGTAACTCATCTTTCTGTACAGACACAGAGCAACAAGAGACAAATGTGAATGAGAAACCAAATTTCCTCTTGTGACACATTAAAAGAGTCCCTGTAAAAGGGGACAGAAACTATTCTTCTAATAGTTACCTTTTTATTACTTTTTTATCCTCCTCCATTAGAGGGGAAATATGAGGGAGGAAGGAAAAGAATGATTTTTTCAGCTTGTCATGCAGGCTGCCAGCCATTCCAGGCTGGTGGTGTCCCCAGGTCAGGGTGAGCATTCTTCTAGGAGTCACAGATAGAGGACTCCTAGAAGCCACTTGCAAATATTCCCCAGCACCTTACTGAAAAGTGCACGGGTCTCAAGAAGAGGGCAGTCATGCCAGCTTGTTGGGACAGGTCCGTCTACAAGTGCAGCCAACTCCTCTCGAGAGCTGGCAAAACTGAACAAGTCCCACAAACTGCTTTGGATCTGTTGAATTAGCATTACCAATGAAAAAATGATGTTGTGCTGGATAATTTTTCCTCAGGTCTTGTTGCATGATACAGATAACTAGAGAGTGGGGCAGTCATTATTATCCCATGCAAATATTTATACCATCTCACACAGGAGACACAGTAAGAACTTGTAGAATGAGCTCTGGAGACTTTGTCCCGCATGCTGTTATACACCTGTAGCACTAACACATGAATAGCTGAGTAGCAGGATAACACCAACTCCTGCAGAGGGAATGCGGGCAGAGATCCCACAAGTTATGCCTGAAAAAGAGCTGATTGAGGTTGCCAAGTTTTGTCCGTGTGTAAATTTACAGTTGGTGGCATTTTCCACTGTGAGTATCATTGTTAAGATTTTAGAATTGGATTGTAAAAAAAAAAAAAGCATTTGACTGAAACTTGCCATTCAACTTCTCACCATCAGAGTATCAGAGTAAAATACCATTCTGCACCAAGAATGAAAGGAGAAAGAGACAGAGAGAGAGAGAGAGAGAGAGAGAGAAAACAACAACATTTAGCAGGTTTTAAAATTATGCAGATATTTTTAATGGCTTTGGAGTATTCAGACACTCACTCATATGTCAGAAAACAGATTTGATTTATAGGAATGACATTTGGCAGAGCAATTAATCCATACTATGTTCTAATCGTGTTTGGTACTAGGAGAGGAAAAAAAAGTCAAACTTAGGTTTAAAGCTGACTGTGCCAGGAATTATTTTCAAAGAAGGCTTAGAAGGCTTTTTAGTAAGCTCAAGGACAAAATCTGGTCTTTTATTCTTTTTCTCCTCCACCACTCAACATGAGAATAAAGCCTGCATCCCATTTTTGAGTTGAAACAGTTAGACCTTGTCTCCATTGGAAGTGAAATGGGAGTCTGGATCTCTTTGGATCTCTGCTAGGTAGAAAAACCCTCTTTTCCACATTATTCCTCAACTTCAATGAGACTGTCTAAATGAAATCTTGGGAAGGAAACTATGGATGGTTCCTTAACAAAAACTCCATGTTTCATCAGGCAAAGCAGGGATTTGCCTTTGTGTGAATGCCATTTGAGGCACAGGTCTTGTTTTGTTAGAATCAAACTCTGATATGCCTCTAGTTTGTCTGCAAGTTTTCCATTTGTGACATGTTTCCAGAGATAGAAATATTCAGTTTATCACCTGGCACTGATTAGAGCTCTACCACCAGAGCATTTACACTTGGCTAAGGGGGCTTCTCATTCCCCAAAGTGCAGAGCCACTACTTCAGGCACCTATGGTAGCTTCCATACAGCAGAAGCCCATGCCCTAGGCTGCAGCTTCCCTCCTGTGTGCAGGGTGGGACCTTCCTGGGACCTTGTCTCAGGCCCTGGAATCCTGTATCCCCAAAAGGGGTGTTCTGCTGAGACCGAACAAGCTTACCTAGGAGGTACAGCTGGGCTGCCACTTGGCCAGCAGGTTTTCCGACTGTTCTTGCTCCTCTTGCTATGTCCACAGCTGCTGACACCTTTCTTGTGCTGGACTGGTTTTGTACAAGCATGAGCCTCTGTTGCTTTTACTCCCATCCCTGACATTGATTTCTGCAGGGAGAAAAAACAATCCCATGTTTATCATCCAGTGTGACAGACATAGCCATTAGGAAAAGCTTCTCTGACAAATCCATTAGAGAATACAAGAGCAAGCACTACTACATGGTCGCTTTTCACTTACAGACTTTGCAGAAGCTGCGAGTTAGCTCATGCAGTAACTGCACCATGTCCAACACAGCACTAGCGCCAGTATGCCAGAAAAAAATCTCTCCTAGAGCCTATTTTGTCTCAGATCTTTCAGAATTAAAGCTGACAGCTGTTCCACAAAATACCAACGCTGGATATCTAATTGAATTTGAACCATGGATTGCTTTCTACCAGTGGCTGGGCATTCACCAACAGACCCAAAAACTCTAGCTCTTCATGTGACTTTTCTCTTGTTTTTGTTGTTGGTTTAGATTATTATTTTTAAAACCACACCAATTCTAATAACACCGCTTCATATCCCGACTCTTGCTTAATTCATTCATAGATGAAAACCACACTCCCTCCAGAATAGCTTTAAAAAGTCAAGCTTACACTTTTAAGGCAAATAAATAATTATTTTAGCAGATTGGCCTTAACACCTGCTGTGAAGATTACAAAACCACTCACATTCTACCTATAACTCAATTTTCTCACACTCATAACTCAGAAAATATTTGCCTCTGGGTTTAATAGCTTCCATATTCTCTTCTGTCTGAAGATGTATCGTTAAATATTATTACTACTGGAGGTATGTTTGGGCAACGTCTTTGAGCCGTATTTGAATTAAAGGGAGAGAGAAGAAAAATTCCAACCAGATGCACTATTTTTGGAAGATGACTACAAAGAACAGCTGGCCTAAGCTAGCTTCTGCTGAAAATTATACCTCTAGGAAACAGCAAGGTAAGAGAGAAAAATTCAAAGACACTGAGGAGTGATTTTGAGACACGGTGTAGGAGCCACAGAGCCAAGAGCCAAGCACTGACCCAGCCCTGCACAGGTCTGTGCCCACTGCCAGCCTCACCCTGCTATCCCAGGCAGGCCAGTCCCGCAGTGCCGAGGGCAGCCCCGTGCTCGCTTTGCCCCCTCCCCACAGCCAGCTTTTATTTAAGTGCAGGCTTTGATCTCAGCTGGTGCTGCAAGCCACTCGCTCCACTTTCACTACGTAAAGGCAGCTGGTGGGTGGATTACCCAAGGCATGGATTCACAGATGACTTACAGTGCAAACACTGACAAAAAAAAAAAAAAGCCGCAAAGTAAATTTAGGGTATAATCACCAAATGTGGCATTTCAAGTGCCCTGCATTTTCCAGGGGAACATCTCAGGCTGTTGCACTCCCACACAAGTTGAAACTGGAGCAAAGATCCCAAAGCTAGCAATCCTACATGTGCAAGTATCTGGCGCCTGACCTGCTCAGCTGAGTCAAGACATAGGCTCTTATTCACTTCACTGGGCCACATTTCTACCTGAACTTGAAGTCCAATTAATATACTTTCACATAAAATAGAGTATTTTGCCGTGAAAACATTCAGTTATATCTTCCTGAAGCTTTATCTCAGATTTGATAGTTAATTGGTGCTTTTTCCTTGCGTTGACAGAGACAGACAGCATCTGAGTAGTCATTATTTCTCACACAAGTACACAAAACTGTAAGTGTTTCAGTTTTGATGTTACAACCGCTCACTGTCACCTCAGTATCTGCTGCTGCCAGTTATTCCCTCACAAGCTCTTTGTCAGAGCGCTTATGTTTCTGCTGGAAGGCTTTCAAGTTCTCTTTGTGAGCTGAAATCCACATCGCACACATGCATACAGGCATGCACACACTCTGCTGTAAATATCATAAACAAATGATACCACAAGCCTTTTCAAAGCATCCTAAAGAGCTCTTCTCTTTCACAAGAAAATGTACATAGATCTTTATGAGGAAGCCTTACACGCTGATTTCTTTTTAATAATAGCAAATAGGTGTTTCCTGAAAGCCTGCGTTCTATTGAAGAAACACACTCCAGACTTCAGATGTGGCAGCATGTGGGTATTCTCTCTCATTTTAGAACTCAAGTTGCTATAACAACCTACGGCATCTGCTCATTCCAGTACCTAAGTGTCATTTTTGTTTTGTTCTTTCCTTTTGGGACTTCTATTCTTCTCAAGTCAAGTGCTTTGCTTTGGTTTTTATTTAAGGAGCTAGCTTATGCTCCAATGTCTATATGTAGAATGAGCTGAAAGAAGACAAAATCTGTGCTGAAAAGATCACAATTTCCAGAGAGTATCTGGCTGGGTGGGATGAGTTTAGGGCTGGGCCCAGCTCCTGACAAAGTGAAGATCCACCAATTCCTTACATGAACTTGAAATTAAGTTCTACGACACGTGAAAGGGGAGAGATCTCTCATGAGTAATGGACAAATTATGGACACTCCCAAGCAGCTAGAACAAGAGGCAAGAGATGGAAATCCGGCCTTGCCTCTAACTGACTCAACCGCTTTCCCCTCTATTTTTTCTTTTACCTTGTTTGATTTTTAATGAAATGGACATTTTTTCCAGAAGAAAAAAAGAAACGAAATGTTTTTCATTCATACCAGAGTGAGCAGGAATGCCACTTAGACAATGCAGTTTGAGTATTGGTTAGCTGCCCAGGTTTCTTGTTCCACCAGGCAGCACTCCTTGTGAACAGGAGCTTGTTACTGCTGGATACTCTTTCTGTGGTGCATCACAGAAGGTGCAGCCCAGCTACCATGTCAATGGAACTGCAGATGGGGTTCATATGAAATAGACAAAACGCTAGCTTCGATGGAAATATCTCTGTTTTAAGATGAAACTTTTTTCCTGTCCATGTAAGTCACACCCACTAAAATCTGTTATCCACCTAAAATGCTTTTTACAAAAGCATTTGGATTTTCTTATCAGCCCAGTTCCAAAATGTTCTACACTCAATCAGGAGATAACTGTGCTGGGCTTACACAGGTTTGTGCAGTCCTCTTATTAATGGTTTGTCAGGAACCAGGAAGGGAGATGCCTGAATGGCATTAGGCTGTGTATGCTCAGTCTCTCAAAAGTGATGGAAAACACAGACAATGCTCTACTGAGCAACTGGCTGCCATTTGCAAATCTGCACACAGATTACTTTTAAGTGAACTGAGGAACAAGCTGCCCTGTCCTGACCCAAACACACCTCTGAATTCTCTGCACCAATACACTGCTGAGGGGTGTGCCCAGAGCTGTTGATAAGGTAGGATTTGCAAGGTTTTAGCTGCAACATGAGCTTTTCAGGGAGGGAGCACAAACTCCTTGTTGTCTCATGCAGCTGTCCCTGCCTGCAAGTGAATTTGCTAGCAAAGACAGAGCATACAGCTAATGAGTGACCTGGGCAATGGGCACAGCTAAAGCAGTGGCTTCAGCCTTGACCACTCCGACTCAAACAGCAAATATTCAGGGCATGAGTTCACAGGGGCCAGCAGGCATAACAGCAAGGAAGGGTGAGCCACACAGATGGATGGAAGATCAGAAAGATCTCGGATTGGGAGTACGCTTGTGGAACAGGAGAAGGCTCAGAGCCATCTGAGAGCACAGATAGCCTTCACAAGAGGCAATCTGTGAGAAGTGTGTTCTCCCACAGCTCTCCCTGGTCTTGTGCCACAACCTAACCATATCGTTCTGAATCTACTAAGGAGAGCTAGATGTTGGCAAGATGTTTTCCACCTTGCGTAAGGACTTTCAGGGCCAACTTACTTACTTTCAAGTAATCCAGTGCCACGAAAGCTCCCATGAGGGGCAAGCAACCTGGTTTCCCAGTTGTCTCAGGAAGCACAAGATGATTTTCTCTGAAATCACACCTTTCTCCTTCAAAGCTTCTGTGTATATTTCGTAACTTTTACATATGTCATTTCTGTACGACAGCCACAGCTCCCACCTGGAGTTTTACAACATTGTCCACATGTTACCTTTCGGGCAGGATACAAATGTGTTACTGATACTATTTTTGCACTTCAGAGAGAAAGTGAGAGAAAAAGAAAGCAGAAGGAATGGAGTTGCGTGCCAAGTGCCAAACTGTGGCTCACCTTGCACTGAGAAAAAGAGAATGCAGAAGATCCGCCTTCCCCATTACTTGGCAAACAGAGAAGGGGTCTCTTTCTGGGCACAGGGACAAATACCATCCTGAGCTGCCAGCAGCCACATTGCCGGTCAGACTGGGGAGGGCACAGCCACTCCCCACCCCCAGCAGTCACGGTAGCCACAGAGGCTCAGCAGATGTGGTGCAGTGACACTCGGGCGGTGCCGAAGGCTGTGGCAGGTCTCAAGTAAGAGCAGGAGAAGCCATGAGCAGACCACGCTGTCAAGAGGGGATTGGTCACATTGTGCCTCTTCACCACTTTTACTGCTGCGGTGCCTCTGCGCTCTGCCATGAGACCCACACACTGCACTTCCTCAATTAACACGGGAGAAATGACGTGGGTTGTTTCATTCTCTCCCCAGATGCAATATGACGGGAGCAGTCGATACAGCGCAAGGAGGCCTAGCTGCATGGAGAGGCACTCCATGAGTGCTGCTGGGATGGGGGCAGGAAATCCAGCAAGGCACACGCAGCTAGCGTGGGCCTTCATTGATCCACAGCCTTCACACTGACAGTGCTTTGTTTCTTTCTGCAGTCTGAAGGCAGAAAGCACACGGGTCCTTTCCTCATGTTTCCAGCACAGGTAAGATCCCTGTGGAAGTAATGGAAACAAGTACAGAAGCACAACACCAACTGTAACTATTGCAGAGATCATGTAATGCAAAGTAAAAGCGGAAAAGGGGGCTCTGAAGAGGATTTCAGTGCTCAGATAGAGGTCTCATTTAAAAACCCAAATAGAGTGACAGCTCCCGATCAAGAGCCACAGAATGTCTGCAAGCAGACTTATCCGTCAGGCACTTCCCAGTGGTACCAGTCCTCATCCTTGTAGACAAGCAAGCACAAATGTTTGTGAGTAGAACAATAAAACAGAGCTAAGAAGTGAAAGCACTTCCAACACTCATGCACTCAGTTCTGTTAT